AAGTAAATAAAATGTAAAATAAATTAATAATGATAATAATGAAACAAAAGATTAAACAAACAAAATAAAAATAAATAAATTATTTCGAATGACTGAAAGAACAAAGAGTAAGAAATGATTCGTTGTATGGCAGAATTCTTATCATAAACCGAAAACTCACCGTGAATTCGGACAAAGGAAGAAAGAGAGACTGAGATAAGAAAATCCTGTAAAAAAATGTTCAGCAGGGTTCAATATAAAATCAAACCTCATTGGTAGAAAGAGAAAAGGAGAAAGACGAATAATTGCTCTACAGACGAACCAAAAAGCTGGTCATTATCAATCATGAACTCATTTAACTTAAGACGAGAGAAGAAAGGCAAGAGTGAGATAAAAAGAAAAAAAAAAAAAAATGACATATGGACATACCATCAAGTCGGCGTCCCTTTTAAAAATAGGACTGATTCTATTTTGGGATGTGAGGAGAAATAAGTAATGATGAGAAGGATAATGATAATGATGATGATGATGATGATGATAATGAGGATGTGATGATAATGATGATAATGATGATGATGATGATGAGGAGGAGGGGGGAGGAGGAGGAAGAGGATAATGATGAAGACGATTATGATGATGGTGATGATGTTGGTGATAATAATAATAATGATGATAATAATGATGATAATAAATGATAATAAATAATAATCATAATCATAATATAATAATAATAATAATAAAATGATAATAATAATAATAATAATAATAATAATAATAATAATAATATAAATAATAATATAATAATAATAATGATAAATAATAATAATAACAAAATAAAAATAGGAATGATAATGATAATATGGATGATGATGATGATGATGATAATAATAATGATGATAACAATGATAAGAATGATAATAATAATAATAATTATTATCCTCATAATCATAATAATAATGATAATAATAATAATGATGATGAATAATGATAATAATAATATAATAATAATAATAATAATATAATAATAATAATAATAATAATAATATAAAATAAATAAATAATATAATATAATAATAATAATAATAATAATAATAATAATAATAATAATAATAATAATAATAATAATAATAATAATAATAATAATAATAATGATAATAATAATAATGATAATGATAATAATAACAATGATGATGATGATGATGATGATGATGATGATGATGATGATGATGATGATTGATGATTGATGATGATGATGATGATGATGATGATGATGATGATGATGATGATGATGATGATGATGATAATAATAATAATAATAATGATAATAATAATAATGATAATAATAATGATAATGATAATTATATATAATAATCTAATAATAATAATAATAATAATAATAATATAATAATACATTATAATAATAATAATAATAATAATAATAATAATAATAATAATAATAATAATAATAATAAATAATATATAAATAATAATAATAATAATAATAATAATAATAATAATAATAATATAATAATAATAATAATAATAATAATAATAATAATAATAATATAAAATAAAATGATGATAATGATAATGATAATAATGATAATAACAATAATAATGATAACTAAAATAACAATGATAAGGAAAATATGATAATGACAATAATGATAATATAATTATAACAATAATGATAATGATAATAACAACAACAACAACAATGATGATGATGATAATAATAATATAATAATAATAATAATAATAATAATGATAGTAATAGTAATAATAATAATAATAATAATAATAATAATAATAACAATAATAATAATAATATGATGATGATGATAATAATAATAATAATGATAATGATAATATAATGATAATTATGATAATTACTACAATAATAATAATATTAATAATAACAATAATAATGGTAACAATGATAAAGAAAATGATAGTCCTAGTAGTTTTAATAATAATAGTGATAGTAACGATGATGATAATTATAGCAATGGTAATAATAATGATAATGATGATGATAATCACAACAAAAAAATAACTTTAAGAGATATATATAGAGCAAACTACTGCTTGAATTCCTGCCTGTAACAGGGAAAGGGAGGTGGAGAAAGGCCGATTGGGGGGAGAGGGGTACAGTGGGCGCGTAGAGGGGCGTGAAAGGCGCGATCCGAGGGCGCAGAGAGGCTGGCTGCACAATACACGTGGGCGGCAGGAATAGAAGAACGATAGCACCAGTTTAGTGATGGATTGGGGAGTCTGCCTGGCTTTGTTGCCAAGGAGTGGAGTTGACTGAGCCATTGTTGGTCGAGAGTTATTGTCGGGTGAGAGGGGGAAGGAAGGGGTGGGGGAGAGAGGAAAGAGGGGAAGGGAGAGAGAGGGAAGGAGGGGAGGGAGAGAGGGCGAAGGCGGGGGAGGAGGGAGTGAGGGAAGGAGGGGGAGGGAGAGAGAGAGAGGGAAGGAGGGGGAGGGAGAAGAGAGGGAAGGAGGGGGAGGGAGAGAGAGA